TATTTTGATATGCATATACACATATCTAAACTGAGTAAATTAAAACCATTCAGTCATGTCATGTTTTTTACTCGGCTTAGAAGCTTAGATTGGCACAAAGACTGGGAGCAGGCAGGCTGGGATGATGCAGGGGTAAATCTACAGAGTGACGTGACTTTGTTTATTATTGCAATGATTTAATGAGGTGCAATAACCAGACAAATACTGAAATAAGAGTTTAAACACCTACAGTTAAAGCATTCAAAATGTTGTTTATCCCGCCATAGTCCTCCCTTGTGTTTAAAGTGAGCCACAATGGTACTTTCGATGTTACTTACGTTTGTACAACACATTTACATTTAACAATAACATTCAACATAGAGAATGGCCTTTTTCTCCCATGTCCACAGCACGGCCTCTAATCCGGTAAGCCAAACCACCATGTCAACTGTACCTTTCCAGTTGACATGGTGGTTTAGCTTCTCACGATGTCTTTGCCAGCTTCGCACCATCTGCTTGTAAACAAATGCACGCTGTCTTCAGCGGCGTACACACTACAAGATAATCAGGACGATTTTGGGCCCGATTCCCCCCTTCCGACCAAAGTCAGCAAAGGCCAGACTATCTGATGTTCCAAAGATTATCTTGCCAGATTCTCCTGTGGTATGAGGTGTGTTAGGAGTGATTTTAACCTCCCCGATCTGCTCGGAAGACGATTGGGGCCGCCCCGATTTGAAATCGTAAATATCAAACATGTTCAACATTTACGATCAGACATCCTGTGGTGTGGGGAGAACACCGAGGACGGCAGAGCACGGACGGAACAATAGCCAATAGGGGATCAAGCTGACTGAAGCAGGAAGCACAACAAACATTACCATGGCGACAACAGTAATCGCGAAACATAAAGTTAAATGGACGTCATGAATTCAGGACCAACTTGTTGATTTGTGGCAACAACAACAACAACGTATAAACAACGTGTCCTGTAAAACAGACCACAATCCAACTGACAAGGAAAGGAGTTTGACCAACATGTTTACCGTAGTGGATGTACCAGCTCACAGCTAGCCACATTTAGCTTGCCCGTCATGTTTGTTTACTCTTCTGACCACGTAAGATTATACGTTGTGATAGTCGAGACTCTCGTTGTCGGCGAATGAATCGGTTAGTGTGTGGTGTGCTGAGTTTATCGTCTCGTTGCACACCACACACTATGCGATCTGAACTGTTAATCAGTCAGGATTGTTGTTATGTGTGGGGTCTCTCACTTTATCAAAATCGTTTAAGATTATAAAATGTAGTGTAGTGTGTACCAGGCTTTAGAGGAGGAGTCGTAACAGCACTATTTGTGTGTTAGAAGACCTTTGGTTGGCTCCAAAGCGCACCAAACCAAATTCCTACATATTGTTGCTTTAACTTTCCCTGCATTTTTTGCTCTTGATCATTTTTACTGCCAACTTATCCCATACAAGATCAAACAGCTGGCAAGTAACCACTCACGTGTGTGTGTGTGTGTGTGTGTGTGTGTGTGTGTATTGGTGATAGGGACCTTTTCCATGATTCAATCAGAAACCAGCAGGTATTCATGTCTGGAACAGGATGCTGTTAATCCCATGATGCACCTGGTTGCCAGGAACATCAACAGCTTGGTTTTGGGCTGAGAGTCGACTGGAAGCAGTGATGTTCGAAGTGTTCACATAAAAAAGTGTTTTTGAGAATCATGTTTTTGTCTGTTCTTACTGCTGCTTTAAAAATCTGAAGTTTCTTACTTTAGTTTTTTCCAACCCACAAAAACATTATTTGGTATGTCAACATGTTCTGTTTGAACACTTGCAGAGAGCTTTTTTTGATTTAATGCTAAAATGCAGGGTAAAAATGTTGTGGACAAGGAGATTCTCCCACTGACTCAGTGTACTGCAGTTTCAAGATCAGCCTGCATCCATGTATTTCTAATCTCTATACATCAAGTAATCCATTAATGTGAAGACACAGCTGAACACTGACTATACATACAGACCATTTAAACTAATGTTTATTGCTGACACGTTGATTCATGTACACTGTCCTAATGATTCATCTTAAGGGTTTTAAGCCATTGTGCCAAGTGTGAAAAATAAATTATCAAGACAGTTTAATGGAAAATATCAATAAATCCAACTTCATGCCTATAGCTCTTTTCATAAAATGATGTAGAACAAAGTGCTTTACATAAAAAAAACAAATAAAAAAGCAACCATATAAGACCCCAGCACAACATACAATCCATGCACAACATGAAGAAGAACTAGATAGGAAAAGATACAGGTACTGACAAACTGAAGAAACACTCTCATGAATTCATTATGAGGAAACACACGAGGTAAGGTTACACATAAATGGAAAAAAAACAATAATGAAATGGAGGAAATATGATAAGAAAACACTAAAAAATAATCCATTAAAAATGTTTTATAAAATATACTAAAATAAATAAAACACTGGGAGCTTATCCAGAAAAAATAGAATAAGATGAAATGACTAAGATATAAAATGTGTTAATAATTAAATATGTAAATAACTATATGAGATCAAATGAAACTCAGTTCAAAGCCAGATTAAAAGGTAGGTTTTGAGTTTGCTTTTAAACAATGTATCATTGTGTGCTGCCCTCAGGTCTTCATGTAGAAGACCTAGCCTATGTTTTAGTTCGGATTTTGGGAACAATCTAAAGACCACTTCAGAAAGACCTGAGGACTCTGGTGGGCTCATACGTTAAAAGTCAAAGTAAAGGTGGGAGCACGACCACAAGAGGTTAAAAAAAACAATCAAATAATCTTAAAATCAATTCTAAAACACACATGTAGACTTTGAAATCGGTGAGATGTGTGCTCTCTTTCTGGTCTTCGTCAGCAGTATTTAAAAAATATTTCTAAATCAATCTGATAAACTCTTTCATTTAATTTTTCAGGCATCAACGCTCCCCAATCACACACAAACTTTTCTGTCAGTTTAAATACATTTTCTTTTTCTTAATTTTTGACTCCAAAGATGTTCTTTACTATGAATAAAATATGATATTGATAGACAGAGAATTGTGTTTATTGTCACCATGTAAGCAACTCCCCTAACCTAACTTGAGGCTAACCTAAGTGTGTTGGCATCCTGAAATAAAAAAGGTTTTAAATATTTTTTGTTCATGTAGGTTTATTAGTGCGAGTCCTTGGCAGCACTCACTTGGTGCTGGTGCCAGAAAACTTGTGCCTGAAGATGCTGCAGACAGTGAATGAGGCGACAGATGGTTTTGATGGTTGAGTTGAAGGTTCAGCAGTTGAGGTCAGACAATCAGTGAACCCGGGAACTTCTAGAAAAAGTTAGCTTTAAATAGAGACACATTGATGAGCAGCATCATGTTCTCTTCACAGGACGACCAGGTAATAGGATTGTCTGGCTTTAGTTCAGGTCATAATGAAATCACAAGGACACGTGTCCTTGCAGGATTCCTTGAAACTGGAGTTTAATCAATCAAAAAACAAACGGGGCCAGCTGTCACTAAATTGAAAGTAGTATATTGGAGATGTCAAAATCTGTTAAATTTGATTTTAAGTGAGTTCTTGTGCTGAGTTGAAGCGTTGAGCTTGTTCTATAATTCTACCCTAAGCTTTATGAAGCACACAAATCTGTAGTCTTCCTCTTTGCAAAACAGATTTGACAGCACGTTAGAGCTGGAATAATCTGTACTTCAGGGAATTAGCTGATTGACAGAAAAGTAAAAGTCCAAGATGTTTACAAGTGAGGAACGTTTTGTATTAAGGAGAAAATGTTTAGTGGTTCAGCTCCTTCTGTGAAAATTTGCTGCTTGTCTGTTGCAACATTTTAAATAAATTCTTTAATACAGAGCATTTAAGGCATCATATTTCAGAAGAATTATTCGTTTTTTTAAGAATAAACTATGAATATATTTAGAGAAAAAGAAAACATTTCTGATTATTTCATGATAAAATAAGTTGTATCCACAGCATATCATTCTTTAATGTGATGTGGAGATAAATACGCCTCTGTTGATGATGTTAGTGCAGGGGACATACTGAATGAAGTACCGTAAGTTGATTAAGATATTTACTATATTTGTATTGGCTGTGAATCAAATGACAGTGTAATGGTGAGTGATTAAATGTATTATATAAACCACAAAGGAACATTGCCTGTAGTTCAGCTGTTCCCTGAAACTTTGAGAATCTTTTCACAACCTTAATTGAATGTCTGTCAAAAGCTCAATCTAAATATTTAAGGCTGGGATACGTTTTTCAAGAGCTGGAAGATGTCAAACTACAGCTGTAATTAAACTTCATGTACATATAGGACCTTTCATGTCGCCAGAAATATTCAAAATGAGTTAGAGTGTTAGTACATGCCTGCTGAATGTGTCCTTGTATGTAAGTGGTCTTTGTTGTATTTGTATTGTATTGGCTGTGAATCAAATGACAGTGTAATGGTGAGCGATTAAATGTATTATATAAAACCACAAAGGAACATTGCCTGTAGTTCAGCTGTTCCCTGAAACTTTGAGCATCTTTTCACAACCTTAATTGAATGTCTGTCAAAAGCTCAATCTAAATATTTAAGGCTGGGATACGTTTTTCAAGAGCTGGAAGATGTCAAACTACAGCTGTAATTAAACTTTATGTATATATATTATCTTTCATGTCGCCAGAAATATTCAAAATGAGTTAGAGTGTTAGTACATGCCTGCTGAATGTGTCCTTGTAAGTAAGTGGTCTTTGTAAAGAGTAGATGTTGTGACCAGATGTTTTTCAGCGTATATCTTCTTTTGCCCCCTAACAGACCAAAAACAAGGTATGCAGCTTTAAGATGACTCAGGTTTATTATGTATCAGTACAACCTTTTTTGTGATCATGTGGTCATTAGAAAGGATGTTCAGAAGTGTCAATTAGCCTGTGATTGTTCATTGAAGATGACAGATTGTTTTCTTTGTACAGCAGCATGAGAGCTCATTTGAGTTCATTTGTTGTTTCAGGCCAGCAACTCTACAACAGGATTAGCTACAGCCTCCAGAACATCAATCACCCCGTCATCCCAGGACATATGCAGGTAACAGCTATTTCAGTAAGAATGATCCAGAACTATCGCTAAAAGGGCATCAAATGTAACCCATGTCGCTGGAATCCCTAACATACCTGTTGAGAAGTCAAGTCATCCACAGTCCTCTGTGTTATATGAACATACCCATCTTAAAGAGTCCCTTTATAGTGAGCTGGAGACTGACTAAATCCCAAGGACATCCGCAAAACTAAGATCAATGCTGTAATCCAATGGTGATCCCAGAGGGCTAATAATGAGAGGAAGAAGGCTGATCGCAGCAATTGGATCTGTCCGATAATTATTTCCACTGGTGGTCACTCAATCCGGCTAATGTTCTGTGGTTTAAATGCTCGAGGACACTGTGTTTGATCACATTATGGACACACTTACTGTATGAGAGCGCTTGGTTCTATATTCGTCCTTTTTTCTTTATCACTGTCCTAGTCTGATTTTAAAAAATCACTTCATTTATCAAACATCACATGTCATCAGCAGGGCTCCCCCTTGTTACATCACGCCAAACTGTCTGTAAGGTAGAAGTAAAAACAAAACATAATAAAACAACTACAGGAGTCACAATTGTGGAATAATTAATACTTCAGCAGAAAATGTTCTTCTTTAGTTATTTCCTGCACATTTCAATCACTGGGGTTTCCAACCGGCTAGTTAAAGTTGATCCAGTAGACTTGAAATATAAACAGTACCTATTTATTTCAGCCACCTGACCGGCCGTCTTTCAATGCTCAATAGGTTTAACTTAGCCTTTAAAGGTTTGGAGTTTGTCTCTCAAAAGAATCAGGGACAAAGATCCTGTCACTGTTTCATGTATTTTTTCTGCAAACCTTTCACCTCTGAAGACAGAAGACAGAAATCCCACAGACAGTCATCTAAAACCTTAGGCATATATAAATATACATATACCGTTCTGTATAGCAGGATAGTTGGATCAGTGATAAACTACATAATGTGTTTGTTATATGGGTGACTATCCCTTTTGTTCCCATTTGTTTTGTTGAGATTGAGATTATTGTATGTTCCATCTCCTAACACCTTTTTTTTTTTTTTTACACATCTCCATTTCTGTTTCCATGTGTGTGTTTGTTTTTACATGTGTGTGTGTGTGTGTGTGTGTGTGTGTGTGTGTGTGTGTGTGTGTGGTGTGTGTGTGTGTGTGTGTGTGTGTGTGTGTGTGTGTGTGTGTGTGTGTGTGTGTGTTCAGTGCTGGCCAGCCGACCCTTGTAGAGGATGTTTCTGAGTCGCAAGAACACAACCAGCAATCACAAAACACAGTGATGACAGTTGCCAGCACAAATCTGGGCTCCTCAGCCCAAGCCCAGAAGAAGCAGGTGAAGCGCCGTCACCGCCGCAAGAGGAGCAGCTGTACTGCCCTCGAAGGCGTGGAAACCATTGCCAAACAGGAGCAGACTGATCGCAGTGATGTCAGCTCCGAACGCAGTGAAAGGGGAGAGAAGAGGGAGCGGTCCTCCAAGAACCGGAAAGAGCTCCAACCTCGCCTGCGCTCCACAAGACCCCCCCATTCCGACTCCAGCTCTGAGGAGGATTCATGGCGTGAGGCCCGCAGCTGGAGCAAGGAGAAAGCCAGGAGAGTGCGCCGCCGCAGCGGCAGCAGTCGAGAAAGGGACGAGGGGGATAGGGGCAAAGGGGGAGAAGACAAATCAGATGTCATGGAGCTGCAGTCAGTGGGTTCCGATGAAGGGAAGGAGAACCAACCTCTGGTGGAGGAGAGCGGAGGCCTTAAGAAGCGACACAGCAGCAGGGCCACGCTAAAGACAGACATTTCAACCAGAGAACGCTCGCAGAGCAGAGAAAAGGGGAAGAGCAACAAGCCACACAGCCAAGGAGGCAGTTCCTCCTTGGCTGAGGACGGTGAAGAGCTCATTACCAAGAAATACCAAGAAAAGGGGTCAGGGGGTGGAGACATGTCAGCCCCCTCACCACCGAAAGCATGTGGTGTGAACGGGAGCACAGCACGATACTGCTCTGATGACTCTGAGATGGAAGTCTGCAGGTTAGTGCGCGACTAGTCGTTTTCACATATGCACTTTGAAGGTGATTTCACTGGCTGTTCACATATGCACCTCACAGCGGGTCAGACAGCAGGGGGTATGGGGGATTTCCTGAGGTAACGAAGCAACAGAGTCCGCTATACGATGCTCTAATGAGAGTATTTGTTTTTATACTCAACAAATATATACTTTATTGTCCCCAAAGCCGTCCTGCCGTTACAAGAGAATAAAAAAAAAACAAGCCCAGAGGTTGTATTTCATTACCTGCCCTGATGTGTGTGTATGGTTTGTTCACTTTATGTGTTTGTGTTTGTGTAGGATCTGCCACTGTGAGGGGGATGATGAGTGCCCTCTGATAATGCCTTGTCGCTGCACAGGGAGCCTGAGTTTTGTCCACCAGACCTGTCTCAACCAGTGGATCAAATCCTCTGACACGCGCTGCTGTGAACTCTGCAAGTTTGACTTTGTCATGGAGACGAAGCTCAAACCTTTACGTAAGGTAGGCACACCGTCTTAAACCTCCTGCTAAGCTGTGGACTTGAACTTAAGGATATATATATATATATAAGTATAAGTATGAACATCATTTCTCTCTCCTCTCCGCCTCCATGCCTTTGTGCTCCAGTGGGAGAGGCTACACATGTCCAAGAGTGAGTGGAGGAAGATCTTCTGTGCCGTGTTATTTCACCTGATAGCAATAGCGTGTATGTTGTGGTCGATCTACATTCTCGTCAAGAGAACAGCAGAAGAGATCAGACTCGGAAAGAACGGTGAGTATTGTCCGCAGTCCCCCCTCTCACACACCAGAGACACGCAGAGTGCAAATTTAATGAGTTTAAGTAAGGCCAAAAAAAACATGGTTGATTGATTTTGTACTTCTGTCAACATTTGCAAAACCTTAATTTCCTTTTTTGCCATAAAATATGCAAATTGTGCAATGAAATAGTAGTCAGCAGTAGAATAAAGCATACCAACAAGAGTAAAAATATCACTTGGAATAATAAATATTATTGATCAAAACTGATGTTCAGTATTAGTGTAAAAGATACAGTCAGTAGGACAGTTTTCCATTATATGGAAGTTTGAAACTTGCCTTCAGGCCTTCTACAGAAATCTATATCACAACCTCTCTGCACATGAGTAACCTCAAGCCGGCTGATAATAATATCACAGGTCCAGTAAAATGATGTACTGCAGTGCCCCTAGTGGTCAAAACTGAAAACCTTTAAACGTTTTACCTGTCTGCCTCTGGTGATGTGACTGTCAAGATACATTCTATGTGTAGTGATGCGTTGTGGTGATGTTTTCTCTCAGTTTAATAAAACTATGGATAGGATAACTCTCCCTTCTTACTCACTGTGGTTTTCATCCCCAAACTGTCCCACTCCACATTAGAAGTCTAGTTCTAGAGTGAAGACACTGGTGGTCTAAGAAATCTTCAATATTCTTAAAAAATCGCAAAATTTATATATTAATAATAGGTAGGACGTTATGCCTCTCCAGATATATCGCAAAAATGTGATGGTAGTGGTTTGATGCCACCAAGGATGATGACTTACAGAAGTTTATCAGCTGTGTTTTATGTAAAAACACATTTCTATCATTTACATTTTCAACCCCTTAGTAGTTAATATGTTTGAAATATTTAAAAAAACAAAGCTGTTTCTGTTTGTGGTGTTTCTTCACCACATGAAATATATCCCTTAAAGCAGCTGCTATGGGTCAACAGGAAAGCATAGAGGTTATGATGCATTCCCTGTGTACAGCGGTTAGTCCTCGTTGAAACAACTGTGGGTTCTAATCTGACCTCAGCCCTTTGCTGCATGTCATCTCTCTCACTCTCTCATCACAACATTTCCGGTCTCTCTTCCGCTGAGAGTCTATAGAATTGAAAAAGACCAAGTACTTTGAGTTTTCTGTTGTATCACTACTGATTTACACAAGTCTTGTCATAAAAATTAAAATAAACAGCCTCAGCATTACTTATAAGGGTTATGGGTCCGGGCCAACTCATTTATGCAACTTGCCAACCCTAAATGACTGGGAGAAAAAATAACTTCCTTACTTATACTTTTGTTTATTTATATTTGATATTTGAATGCAATTTAACACCTAAAATACAGTTTACCTTATTTTAAATGTAAAGAGATTATAATTATGCTGCTGTCATGTTGGAAGTCTTGATCAATCAAATCAGGGCATCTTTTGCAGGAGTCTGATGGTCAGACAAAGAGGGGGTTGGCTTAAATAAAATGTTAACAATGGTGTCCTTTAAAAATAGATGTATTGGTCTTCATCATCCATTGTTGCAAAAAATAAACAGGATATTGTTTTTGCATTGGGCAATTAAGAGCAGCATGCTTTTCTCGCGTGTCAATTGATAAGCGAATTGATGGCATTGCTACTGCAGTAAATGCTTCAGATAAAAATCTTGAGCAAGTTTTAAAAGTCAAGAATGTAGTTTAATAACAGGCAGACAGGATAAACCCCTGCAATCAAAAGGCCCAGCCCAAAATTACCTGGGCCCATCCAAAACTGAAATCCTTCCTCAAAAATATGCATTTGTCCGTGGGCAGGTCATTTCAGGGAGTCTAAAGAACTGTTAGACCTGAAAACACCTTATGAATTCAAATAGTCACATAACTTAACTTCAAAACATAGTGTTTATGGTTATCTTGGAGCTGGAATGTAAATTAGTCTTTGCATTTTGCTATTCTAAATTGCTTCAGACCACATTTTCTGATAAACCTTTTCTTGCTTTACAGGCAGTTATTGCTTGGAAAATCTACTCGATTTCAATATTTGATCTTCACTTTGATGCTTCATCAAAGTGAAGATCAAATTGGGACATTGGAACAGTGGAAATCAGGACACTTGAGATTTGACAGAAAAAATAAGTAATTCTTAAGCACAACCAAGAGAACAAAAGAATGCAACTGTTGTGAGGAAAGTCCAAATTTCACGTCAGGGATCATGACAAGGCTTCGGGTGCAGTCTCTGCTCAAAATGGCGACATGGAACATTACATGATGTTCATGCTGTTCATGATGAGCTTCACAAATACGACAAGTGAAAACAGACCCCCTCAGTGCTTCCTTTGTATTAGTTGACGGTGCTGTGTCGTGCTGTTGTGTGGTGATAGTGTATCTGTAATATTCTCATACTGTAGGACCTCAAGTTAGAAGCAGAATAAAAAAAGTTGCAGAATGTTAAAACTTAACATCTGTTTTAGACATTAAACATTCATCTATATTAATTGAGAGAAATTACACTCGCTCTTGATTGCAGAGGAATTATGGAGAGTTTCTCTTCTGAAGTACTCGAAGGCTGACGGTAAGCGCAGCTCTGCACACACCACCCATCATGATCTGTCCCACATCCTGCAGGCTCACTTACAGTCACTGTGTGTGTGTTTGCGACTCCTCAGGCGTGCTGGAGTGGCCCTTTTGGACCAAGCTGATTGTGGTGGCCATTGGCTTCACAGCCGGACTCATCTTCATGTACATCCAGTGTAAAGTGTACCTGCAGCTGTGGCGTCGCCTCAAGGCCTTCAACCGCATCATCACAGTGCAGAACTGCCCCGAGAAAGGCCTGCATGTTTCTCAGGCTCAGCCCAACACCCTGACAAACGGCAGGCATGAAAATGTGGAGGTTCCTGTCAGTGCGGCACCCGCCGTGGCTCCTGAGCAGACGGACTCAGACATGTCAGTGGAGGCAGCGGTGTCACCGGAGCAAAACCCAGTCTGATTGACTCTCCTCATGCTCAGCCAGAATCCTGAACCGCACCCTACTCATCTAACAGTACCAGCGGGTGTACGCACGGCGCGATTTAGACTCATACAGTGTTTTAGTATTATTCATCTCAGCTGCTGCGATGACTGATTCTGAGATGATGGACACAATCGAAGTCTTTCAGTGATCAAGGAAAACTTTAAGGCTGCAGTGAAAGGAAGTTGGTGGTGGCTGGACAGAATATGGGGAAAAAGGAGGTGAAAAGATGTAAAGGAAGAGAAGGATAGAGCCATCGGGAAGAGCCACCTGAAAGAATCATTTATAAATACTGTATTTAAGTGGTAAATTAAAAGTTTAATCCTCTATGCACTTTCTCAAACTTCACTGGCGTGTGAACAGCCCGTGGATGCTATGAAAGGTCTCAGTATGCTTCAACCTTGAATGACACTTCCTGCAATCGTGGATAAGTTTTAGCTCGTCTGTGAAGACAAAGAAGCAAGCTATTGTGCAGACTGGGACAACAAACTTTTAGAAGTCTCTCCACAAACACTTTAAGGTGGTCTCTATTTAAAAGGTATTTAATGAGTTGCATTCCACAGTACACACGAGAAGTGATCGATGTGAAAATGTGACGAGTTGGAAGAGTTTTAGGAGAGAATCTCACAACTCTGCAAAAGAAGGGTGCATTCATGACATCAGGTTTCAGAAGCTGTTTGACAATCCAACAAGCACTTTTATTTGAAGCATACTGAGGCCTTAACCTTCCATCTGGACAATCAGGTCTTCAGACACCAAAGAGTCAGAAATGACTAATAGAGAAAAATGTATTTAAACATTATCTTTAGCTCAGTCTGAAATGGAACATGTTATGTTTTCAAAAAGATGAATTTATGTATTGTCACAGGAAAATGTTGAATATTTCTTAAAATAGCAAATGTTAAGTAGCCCAGATATTTCTGAGGTTATATTTGAACAGTTTCCAGCTTTATGTGGTCCTGTCTGCCGGGTCCTGATATTTATACACACCATGTAATCAAAGTTTTTAGACCAATGTCAAATTTATGTCACAAAAACTAATTTTTCTCTTCTTCGTGTCCACCAAACTCAAGAGCACCCAAACATCTTTGTCAAACTCCTTTTTTTAAACTCTGATTGGATACAAATGGATTCAGGTTACATATAATGCAAACTTGTTGTGCAATAAACAATGAATGTAGACCCCCCCTCCCCCTCACAGGCTGGTGTGAAGTTACTGAGCATCAAAATGACTGAATAGACTTTAGCTCTCCGTTTCTGACAGTGTGGTGCGTCCTTCAGGACGGTTCTGGAGTAGCAGCTTATATCCAACATCACAATGTTTTGTTGAAAAGTCTCTGCTGAAGGCCGGTCTGATGTTCAGCTATGTTTCAATGCCGGCCTCAGTCTGACATCAGCACATTGTCGTCCAGCTGCTCTTCATCCAAGTCATCTTCGTCCTCTTCGTTGTCCCGTTTCTCCTCCTCTTCAGTCTTTGTGTCCAAATCTTTTTTAGAAACCTTTCGCAGTTTGATATTTGGAAGTTTCTTCAAATCACCAGTCCATTCCCTTTCCAAATCAAGAACAGACAAACACGATTGGAGAACATGTCCCAAAACCCTAACACTCAAAATCTTACAAAAATAATTCAAATTCTTAATCGAGTCAATATCTTTCAGCTTTTTTCAAGATTGTAGATTTTACTTTTTTGCCATTTACAACTCTTTTTGATAGTTTTACTTGGGTCAAGTAAACATTGAAGCTACTGTGTTTTGTGTTAATGGGTTCACTTATACAGTAATATGCAGATGAAGCCACATGCTTTTGGTGAATTAAAGGAAAAAGAGGATGACTTTTAGCGAAGGAACTCCTTATTCCGTGCAAAGGGGAGGCTGATTGCACAATCAGAAGTGGAGGGAAAGTGAATGGCTTCATTACAACAGATTTTATAAGATTTTAGGATGCCAAAATAATTGTAAACTATCTATTAATATGTCATTGTCGGTGCACCATTGGAACTAGTCTGAGTCTACAGACATCAATGTAATAATTCCTTTATAACTTTTTATACACACCTGAATCTGATTTACAACCACATACTGTATGAAAGGGGCCCATATCTAAATTAACAGATTGGACTGCATGAGATGTTAATATGTTCAGACTTTCATGAAATCTGAGTCACATTTGAGCTAAAAAAAAAAATAGAATAATCATATTTTGTCTGTAGTCTGTTTGTAGTGTAAGTCAGCGATCACTGAATTACTTATTTAGAGCCTCCACTTAAATACATAACAGATTATTTTGGTATTTAAAACACACTTACCTGAATGTTTTCAGATGTTTTGCATTGATAATGTCTGGGATCTCTAAAGAGACAAACACAGGATCTTAGAGTATTTTTCAACGCAGACATGGATGTAGCATGTGTACAGCATGTGTGTTTTGTATTTATACGATGAGGACTCACCAAATCCTATGCCCTCATATTGGGCACGCTCTCGCTCGATGGTCTGTTTGATGACAGCCTCTCTGGCACCATGGAGACGACCCTGTCGACCTTTGATCCCGTTCATCAGCTCAATCTGCTCAAGTTCAGAATCAAACCTTTGGAGGTGCCTGCACAAACACACACATGTAAGTCCACTACACGGAAGAGGAAATCTTGCTCTATCATTTGTTTAATTTGACAAACAAACCAGAACCACATGTTGGTGCATTTCCAATTGAGAATACTAATTGGCAAGGGCAGGTAGCAAAACTCTGAATTTCTGACCTTTCAATGATGTCACAGGCATCTTTCCTTGTGTAAGCTGTTTTTTCTGGATCCAGCTGTTCCTGAAACCACAACAGCTTCTCACCTTTAAGTTATGAGAAAGACAAAAGAAAAAGATTGTGTTTAATAAGGAGTGAGTTTATCCTTACAGTCAGCAAGAGCATAGTGCTATATAAGATGATACAACAATGATACTATTAGACAAGAAGCATGACATGAGCGCTGGCCTCGAGCAGGGGTTCTCAGCTGGTCTAGCCTCGGGACCCACCACCAACTCCTTAATAAGAAATCACGACCCAAATTGTTTTGTATTTTCCAACCAATAAGATTTGTTTGATGAAAAATTGTGCCGTTTGGACCTCAGATGGGTCAAAACACGACAGAACAAAGAAATGAAACAAAACAAGCGTTAAAAGTGATTTTTAGACTTTTTGAAAAAAATTTCCCCAGGCACACTTTCGCGACCCACTGAAAATGACTCCACGACCCACTTGTGGGCCCCAACCCACCAGTTGAGAACCACTGATCTAGATTACAAAATCACTTCAGCCTTGGGAATACTGTGTTAACTAACACTGTATTACTTATTATCTGGAACTCAAACAAGCCACCAACACATTATCATTTCAATAGTTTCGTGAACATTGGAAATATAAAGACTAACGTTTAAATGCTACGTTTCTGTCCTGGGGTTATGTGTAGACACACACAAAGCAGCAAGACTACAGACAAACTTGTCTAGTTACAGTAAATGTCAAAATCCATTCTAACGGTGGAGTAAAATGAGAGGTGAAATCGAAAAACATCCATTACACATCTATTAAATGAATGTATCACACACAAGGTCGTGCTGTTGTAATTTATATCGGCACGGCTGTGCATATGTTCGACACTTAGGGCGAAACATAACCATGCTAATCTGCCCTACAAAAGCAAAAGACCTTAACTCGCCAGAGTGTAGAACTCAGAAAAATGACTTTAAAGTATTTTTGTTGCCCAGCCAAATGAGTTGCAGGCAGAATATTGGAAATGTGGCAATTCTTTGTCTTTTTAATGAGGTTATTAATGTTCATAAACTTTTTTTTTTTAGATCAAACATGACCCTTGACCCTCATTTGGAAGTACTCTGCCTTTGCATTGCCTGTACAATAATAACGGGGTCATGCCAAGGCAAAAGACAGTAACTTCCATTTGATACTGTATTTCACTTGGTTGCATGGTTAAAATAACACAACCAACACTATTTCACTTTAGTCAAGCTGCCGTGTGCGTCAGAAGTGCTTGATGAAGGATATTAAAACAAAGGCATAACACCTTAACTCCACTGCAGTGAAACAGTAACTTCACTTTGATCCGCAGTAAAACAAAGACAGAAGACCTTAACTCAGTTTGAGCATTCCTGAATGCTGCAGTTCAAAGGCAAAGACCCTGATGAGTTACTGGACTCTGCCTTGGTTTCTCGAGAGCTTTTGGAAGTTAAGGCAAATACAACCTACTATTTTCTCAAAAAAACAACAACACAATTGACTCAAGATATTTGTCCTCATAATAAAAGAACATCTGTAATGCTCCAAAAATGACAAAAACTAAGTTACTGCCTTTCGCCCTGTAGGGCAGTAATGCTGACAACAGCAGTAATTTCTATTGTGTGATAAACTTACCGATGCTGCTTAGACGTGTTGCTTTGTCATTCCTCTGTCTGCAAAACAATCAACAACAAAATGAAGCAGTTCTCAATAGTTTCTATGTAAACTCGTTTCACTAAGTTATTCAATTGAATTCAAAAATCTTTATTTGTCCCCGGGGGGCAATTCAAAGGCACACAGAGCAGTAAATTAACAACAGTGCAAGTAAACGAAACATTTTAACCTAAATAGAAAGTGTCAATTTAAATACAACTTAAAGCTTAAACTTAACTTAAAAATACAAAATATAAAAGAGTAGATATAAGTGGACAGTGATCGGACTAACAGATGGAAACAGATGTAACCATAACTATGTGCAGTAGTGACCAGATGTGAACAGAACCATGCGCAGTAAACGAGAAATAAATATATATATATACAGAACTATGTGCAATAAACGAGAAATAAATATATATATACAGAACTATGTGCAGTAAACGAAAAATAAATATATATATACAGAACTATGTGCAGTAAACGAGAAATAAATATATATCTATATATATACAGAACTATGTGCAATAAACGAGAAATAAATATATATATATATATACAGAACTATGTGCAATAAACGAAAAAAATATATATATACAGAACTATGTGCACTAAACGAGAAATAATATATATATATATATACAGAACTATGTGCAATAAACGAGAAATAAATATATAAATATCTATATATATACAGAACTATGTGCAGTAAACGAGAAATAAATATATATATACAGAACTATGTGCACTAAACGAGAAATAAATATATATATACAGAACTATGTGCAATAAACGAGAAATAAATATATATATACAGAACTATGTGCAATAAACGAGAAATAAATATATATATACAGAACTATGTGCACTAAACGAGAAATAAATATATATATACAAAACTATGTGCACTAAACGAGAAATAAATATATATATACAGAACTATGTGCAGTAAACGAGAAATAAATATATATACAGAACTATGTGCACTAAACGAGAAATAAATATATATATATATATATATATATACAGAACTATGTGCAATAAACGAGAAATAAATATATATATACAGAACTATGTGCAGTAAACGAGAAATAAATATATATATACAGAACTATGTGCAGTAAACGAGAAATAAATATATATATACAGAACTATGCGCAGTAAACGAGAAATAAATATATATATATATATATACAGAACTATGTGCAGTAAACAAGAAATAAATATATATATACAGAACTATGTGCAGTAAACGAGAAATAAATATATATATACAGAACTATGCAATAAACGAGAAATAAATATATATATACAGAACTATGTGCAGTAAACGAGAAATAAATATATATATATACAGAACTATGTGCAGTAAGCGAGAAATAAATATATATATACAGAACTATGCGCAGTAAACGAGAAATAAATATATATATATATATATATATATATATATATATACAGAACTATGTGCAGTAAACAAGAAATAAATATATATATACAGAACTATGTGCAGTAAACGAGAAATAAATATATATATACAGAACTATGCAATAAACGAGAAATAAATATATATATACAGAACTATGTGCAGTAAACGAGAAATAAATATATATATATATATACAGAACTATGTGCAGTAAACGAGAAATAATTATATATACAGAACTATGTGCAGTAAACGAGAAATAAATATATATATACAGAACTATGTGCAGTAAACGAGAAATAATATATATATATATATATATGTGCATATATATATATATACAGAACTATGTGCAGTAAACGAGAAATAAATATATATATACAGAACTATGTGCAGTAAACGAGAAATAAATATATATATATACAGAACTATGTGCAGTAAACGAGAAATAAATATATATATACAGAACTATGCAATAAACGAGAAATAAATATATATATACAGAACTATGTGCAGTAAACGAGAAATAAATATATATATACAGAACTATGTGCAGTAAACGAGAAATAAATATATATATATATACAGAACTATGTGCACTAAACGAGAAATAAATATATATCTATATATATACAGAACTATGTGCAATAAACGAGAAAAAATATAAAATATATATATATACAGAACTATGTGCAATAAACGAGAAATAAATATATATATACAGAACTATGTGCACTAAACGAGAAATAATATATAATATATATATACAGAACTATGTGCACTAAACGAGAAATAAATCTATATATACAGAACTATGTGCAATAAACGATATATATACAGAACTATGTGCACTAATATATATATACAGAACTATGTGCAGTAAACGAGAAATAAATATATATACAGAACTATGTGCAGTAAACGAGAAATAAATATATATATATATATATATATACAGAACTGTGTGCAGTAAACGAGAAATAAATATATATATACAGAACTATGTGCAGTAAACGAGAAATAAATATATATATATACAGAACTATGCAATAAACGAGAAATAAATATATATATACAGAACTATGTGCAGTAAACGAGAAATAAATATATATATACAGAACTATGTGCACTAAACGAGAAATAAATATATATCTATATATATACAGAACTATGTGCAATAAACGAGAAATAAATATATAAATATATATATATATACAGAACTATGTGCAATAAACGAGAAATAAATATATATATACAGAACTATGTGCACTAAACGAGAAATAAATATATATCTATATATATATACAGAACTATGTGCACTAAACGAGAAATAAATATATATATACAGAACTATGTGCAATAAACGAGAAATAAATACATAAATATATATATATACAGAACTATGTGCACTAAACGAGAAATAAATATATATATACAGAACTATGTGCAGTAAACGAGAAATAAATATATATACAGAACTATGTGCAGTAAACGAGAAATAAATATATATATACAGAACTATGTGCAGTAAACGAGAAATAAATATATATATACAGAACTATGTGCAATAAACGAGAAATAAATATATATATACAGAACTATGTGCACTAAACGAGAAATAAATATATATATACAAAACTATGTGCACTAAACGAGAAATAAATATATATATACAGAACTATGTGCAGTAAACGAGAAATAAATATATATATACAGAACTATGTGCACTAAACGAGAAATAAATATATATATATATATATATATATATATACAGAACTATGTGCAATAAACGAGAAATAAATATATATATACAGAACTATGTGCAGTAAACGAGAAATAAATATATATATATACAGAACTATGTGCAGTAAACGAGAAATAAATATATATATACAGAACTATGCGCAGTAAACGAGAAATAAATATATATATATATATATATATATATATATACAGAACTATGTGCAGTAAACAAGAAATAAATATATATATACAGAACTATGTGCAGTAAACGAGAAATAAATATATATATACAGAACTATGCAATAAACGAGAAATAAATATATATATACAGAACTATGTGCAGTAAACGAGAAATAAATATATATATATACAGAACTATGTGCAATAAACGAGAAATAAATATATATATACAGAACTATGCGCAGTAAACGAGAAATAAATATATATATATATATATACAGAACTATGTGCAGTAAACAAGAAATAAATATATATATACAGAACTATGTGCAGTAAACGAGAAATAAATATATATATACAGAACTATGCAATAAACGAGAAATAAATATATATATACAGAACTATGTGCAGTAAACGAGAAATAAATAAATATATATATATATATATATACAGAACTATGTGCAGTAAACGAGAAATAATTATATATACAGAACTATGTGCAGTAAACGAGAAATAAATATATATATACAGAACTATGTGCACTAAACGAGAAATAAATATATATATACAGAACTATGCAATAAACGAGAAATAAGTATATATATACAGAACTATGTGCAGTAAACGAGAAATAAATAAATATATATATACAGAACTATGTGCAGTAAACGAGAAATAATTATATATACAGAACTATGTGCAGTAAACGAGAAATAATATATATACAGAACTATGTGCAGTAAACGAGAAATAAATATATATATACAGAACTATGCAATAAACGAGAAATAAATATATATATACAGAACTATGTGCAGTAAACGAGAAATAAATAATATATATATATATATATATATATATATATATATACAGAACTATGTGCAGTAAACGAGAAATAAATATATATATACAGAACTATGTGCAGTAAACGAGAAATAAATATATATATATACAGAACTATGCAATAAACGAGAAATAAATATATATATACAGAACTATGTGCAGTAAACGAGAAATATATATATATATACATATATATATATATACAGAACTATGTGCAGTAAACGAGAAATAAATATATATATACAGAACTATGCAATAAACGAGAAATAAATATATATATACAGAACTATGTGCAGTAAACGAGAAATAAATATATATATATATATATATATATATACAGAACTATGTGCAGTAAACGAGAATATATATATATATATATATCACATAATTCACTGTTAAAGGAAAACTTTAAATTACTTATTCTGCTACGTTGTAGTTGTTTCCTTTCACCACTTAAACACGTAAACATTTGAACGGATTTTTTTTCACCCACCTATCTTTCTTCTTCAGTCTGATTTCCTCTCGGGCCAGGTAAGCAGCTTTCCTGCTGTACGGGTGAACAACCTTCTCCGCCGCTTTTCCTTTCTGAGCTCTCGGCTTCATGAAAACATCGACAAGAGAAGACAACACAGTCAGGAACAAACGAGTCCACGTTAAAATGTCTTACATTGTTCAAACTATTCTGACAGACCACCAGTCTTTACCATTTTTTGACAAAATCACACGTGGTGCTCCGATGTTGACGGATGTTGACATGTGGACCGGAAGCGAGTCGTTCCGTCGTCAAATCGTTCCGGGCGTTCTACGAAGACATTGGAAAGGTTCCGACGTTCAGTGCATCTGAAATAGAAGCAGCGAAAGCCATTTATCAAGCTTTATGTATATTGTAAATACATAAAATCATAATTTTTTAAGTAATGGTCTTAATGTTTTTTTTTCACATGTGGGCTAATTTAGATTTAGAACAAAACCCCCATCATTTGTTTTTGAATGTTGTATTACCATATAAAATTAATGTTGTGATTGATATCTAAATAACCTTAATAGAACATAAACATTTGTATGGTTTATTTTTAAATGGCTGGTCAATTAAGTACTATTTTCATTCACACTCACTTCACAGACACTTTATTTCACTTTGCGCAATCGGTTTGGTCTAATAAGATTCAGAAAAATGTACAACTCAGGAGAATCATTATGCTATTTTATTTCCATTAAAAGAATATCAAACAGTAATCTGGTGGGTTTATATTTGAAGAACTTGATTATATTTCATAAACAACTATACATGAATAAAACTGGACACGAAGATGATCATCTCTACATGGTGATACTGATCATAGAAGTTTAAGAGACTTCAGATGGGGCCAGTTGAGACCAGTCGGGCTCCTCCAGTCCCTCAGGCTTTGCTTGGCTCATGTGTTAAAAAAAGATCACATATTTAGTATGGGAACAAGCTCTGGTTTGCCTTGCGTACCACCATAGCAGGTTCATAAGTAAATCATGTGGTGGAAGAACTAGTAACCTCGTTCAGCTGAAACGAATGAACTGAAAGATTATCTCCCCCAAAAAACTGTCCGGACATACTCGTGCCTTAGCTTCCAAATGGGATCAAATCCCTAAATCTTACACAAAGCCTTTATAAAAGGGTAGAGGCTATTATAAGAGCAGAATAATACCCGGTGGTTGGATTAAATCCTCAGCAACCAAATATGAGTTTGAAGTTTAGGAGTGTCAGTTTTACTGGGGCAAAAAAACAATATGTGTGTATTTAATTTTATTGTGACATTAACTTTCACGGGCTTCTACAATGATCTACAGATTTCCTAGAAAGTGAGGCAAAAAAGCAGAATGAATCAGAAACCTAATATTAGTAACTTTATCCTAGAGATAACGTTCTCAAACACCCTTAACAGATGCAGATATGACACAGATATGAGTCAGACATGAGAGACAGCATTTCTGAAGAAGTACTGATAAAACTCAAGAGTGAGCTGTGTCCTCTACCAATGAATACAAATGATTTAAAACAAAGTGTCTTTTCAAGTTATTTTATGTTTTCATTAAATCATCAAGTTTTAGTCAATTGACCTGAGCTATCGAGTTCTAAGAGCTAAATCTGCAAGCTAATAACCTGCTAAACACAACACATGTTAGCATTGTTAGCTATGGAGTGCTCGAAAAACCGGTGCGTAAAGTAAGCCAGCCACAAGCAAAGAAGATGAATTCTGAGTAACTCAACCCTTCAACTGGAATTTTACTTCTGCAAGAATCACAAAATATTGCCTAATCTTCTGAGAACAGACTCTAGTATTCAGAAGAAGTGACATTATTTGTGTTTTACCACTTGAACTGTGTTACATGCATGCAGTTGTGTTTTTGCTTATCTTTTATCTGTCATTTTTTGTCCAATAGTTTTAGGTTTTCATTTCATTCTGAAACTGCCATACTTTCCTTTTAGCAAATATTAGAAATCCACAAGATGAACAAGATTGGGTTTGAGGATGCCTCCATAATATAGTCACATAAGCATTGAGAGCTACGTGGAGATTGATTTACGAGTTACCAATGCTTAAATGTGCTCTGTGTTATGGTGCCAGGGAGCACATATGAGCAATGGTAACTTTCTCTTTAACATGACAATTTCTATGGAACAATGCCCTAACCTATGAGTACAGACTACCAGTAAATAATAATAATCATAATAATAGTAAATTCTATTCATAGGCACCTTTCGAAGCACACAAGGTCACTATACAAAGTAGAGATAAAATAAACAACAAAGTAAAAATAATTCAACATAATTCATATTAAAAAGGCAAATGTAAAGTGAATAAAATAATTGTGAAGAGGATTCATGAGACTTAAGATGGACAATGATCCATCTGATGCCACCTCAGTATTCAAAAAAAGCGGCAAAAGAAGTCTTTAAATGTCATTTTTGGTAATCACGTTGAACACTGCTGTTTTTTTTTTTTTTATCTTTAATCAGTTCAATATTTTGACACCAAACTTTGAAATTGGCATCAGCACTAAGCTGTGTCGTGTTTATTAGCATATGTTAGCCTACTAACACAATGAAATTAGATTTTCTGAAGTTCGTAATTGAACCTGCTCAACATCAACATATCAGCATTGTAAGCTAAATGATTACAGATCATGTTTATTGTGTCTTGGAGCCACACATGTTTTAGTTCTCACAGAACAAGTAGCATCAGGGTTAACTTTACCTTCAACATGGCATTTATGACAACAAATGTTGCCAAACCATCTGAGCACAGACCCGCAGCATGCAGAGGAAGTGGCACAATCTCTGTTTTGAATGTCAATTCTGGCCATCATGTTGAAACCTGTTTTACAACCAGGACTCTGCTGTTAGATGAAAGATAGTAGTGTCTTTTCCAAGTAGGCCAACAGACTTCTACCATAGATAATCATAACAGCATGACCCTCCAAATCATGATCAGTCTTTTATCACAGAGGGTGACCTTAAGGCTTCAGACATCCAGAAACAGTAAAACGTTGGGAGTTATTTTAGGTAGCAGACAGACAATTTACTGAAACGATATCCAAGCAGCTGTCTCTCTCTCTCTAAGCTCTGTCAAATTGTTTTTTTCTTCTTTTAGAGTTTGTTCGGCTTCCCCCCCACTCACTCTGTAGGGCCACATACCTAACCAGCAGGAATGTGATTGTACTAGAGCCGAGGAGCCTTCTAACTTGTGGCGACAAGCACACAAGTCCATTGCATCACATCCGAGTGAGCTATCTGAGGGTGTGTGACTGAGTGTGTGCGTGTTTTTTTCTTCTTTTTCTTCCATTTCATATGTTTAGTCAGATCAGGAAGTGTGATGCTATAACAGAAGAGGAGGAGGAAGGGGCACACAATGGCACTATGTCTGCTTTGCGGCCTTGTAACATGAGAGGCCCCCGGCTGAAGACCCTTTTGTTTCTTCTTCTTCTGCTGCTGACCGCTCTGACACACACAGGTAAGACATGAAGATTAATTTCTTTACTCTTTGAGCGGCACTTTCACCTTTTCTGTCTCCTCCCTGCTTTCTCCTTTTTCATCTTGTGACTGTGAGTGTAACTTCTTGACTGCGAATGAAGAGTGTTTGATACAGGTACTGTGAATTTAAAACATGACTTCGTTCAAAAGAGCTTTGAGATTAGAATCGCTCAAGACACAAGATACTCCTCTTTCCAGTCTCGCCCTATCTCAGTTCATTTCACTTTCAGCCCAATCTATGTCACTTTAATCCCTCCTCCCTAAAATAAAAAGTCTTCTAAGTTCACCTTAACACAATGGTCTTTATGTACTTACTTTTTCTGGGGGCTACAAAATCACTATAAACAACATTGTTTTATTAGCGTGGAGATGTTAATGATAAGGTTAGGTTTTTTTACGTCTTCTTTTTAAAAGCTGCAAAAGTATGCGTTGATGAAATTTCTGTTTGTTCAAGTCTGTTTTTGTTCTTTTCTGTTAACCTTTTGTACGCTGCTGTCTAGGCCAGGTCTAGGATTGTTTTCTATCATAATTAGTATATTACTGGTTAAATAATCATTTTTAAAAGTGACACAAAAACATGTCACTTTAATCCTGTAATCTTGTGTCCTTTTCTTTAGCAAGATAACAACATGACACATTTGTGTCTGGAACAAATTGCTCAACATGATTTAAAATCTCCGCCCACCCTCCTTACAGTTTTGCAACATTTCTCTTTTCATTTTTGTAACAACCGGAACAAATAATGCACACGGGTGTCTTCAATTTCCTGTGTGGACGACTCTGACAGTTACTGTGCCCTGCTGCAGATTTTTTTTTTTTTTTTTTAAACTAGGCCGGTGGAAATAAGTGTCAACTTTCACTTCTAGGTTTCAGTTGTAACACTGATGATGCATGTCTTCCTTTAAGCTTCAAAACTTGCTTTTCAATGGCATGACAGCGCTGTATTCTGAAGAAAGACATTTTTGTTTTTATTGCAGGGTTGTGTGAAGATGAAGACGGTTCAGAGCCAGAAGAAGTGCCAGAAGGGAGACAGGTGACCTAGAACCACCTGTGGGTGGTGACACAGGTAGGACTTCAATAGCAACATTAACATCTAAAATAATAATACACTTTGTGTTCAAAGAGGGTTATGGAAAGGTGTCTTTAGTCAAGTAGGTGTCATATAACAAAAATAAAAACAACTGAAACAACAGGCAAATTTAAACATCACATGCCTTAAGTATTAAACAATAATCATTACTCTTCTATCCTTTCGTTGTTGTTGTTTCTTTCACCCACAAGGATATCAGGATGTCCACCTCCACTGATTTAAAGGCAGCATCCCTGTAGTGAATCCCTCCTCTACCAATTTATTTTAAATATATTTAATTGATTATATTAAGTCTAAACAAGTAAATGGTCAGTACCTACATAAGCACTGATCTCAAATATTGTAATCTCCATTTCTGTTACTTATTTTCAACTGTCCTACTGTTCAGAAATAATAAAGTACCTTTTTACTCTACTTCTATTTTAGACCAACTATAATATGTGATTAAAACAATGCTTTTAGTTTCAACGCTTATGTTAACCTGATAGTATGTGTGCTCTTTTGCTTGAAAGAGTGAAAGGGAATAATTTAAAATCAATGTGTTCATTATTTTTTGCACTGATAAAGGTTCTGGTTAATTCTTCCACCTGTTGACATTGGTTCAAGCTCGGTGAACAATAGATTTGTATACCTGTGTTTCTCTGAGGGACTCCATTTGCTCCATATTTTGTTAAAATTGTCTCTGATTTATTTAGTCAATGCCTTTGAATGTACCTGCTCTTAAATCAATGTGATGCCAATATACTTTTGGCTGGGTATATAAATTGACTCCTTAGAAATCCTACGTATTGCACACTTTAGATTTAGAGTTTATAATGCTGCTCTCTCTGATTGTAGAACTGCTCCCAGCTGATCCTGATGCCACCTCGCCATCGGAAAACCCCACCACAGTGAACACAGGTCAGTACAAAACAGCTTTTATTCTACCTGTTGGCTTTTTTCCAACATGGTGCAAGAAAAATGTACCCTTAGGGGGAAAAAAACACAAATGAAGAAAATGCTTTTCTGTTCGTGATCTTAACCAGGCCATTTAGGGGATAACAAAAAAAAATTGCATTGACAGAAATGAATGAATGCATTTTTTCTCTGCTATTGTTTTCAGATGGAAACCCCACAGATGATGAACCTGAAGGCTCAGGAGACGGTAAGTCAGTCATAAACGGTGGTAACAGGACTAATTTGTCTTTTAATCTCTGTAAATATAAAAATCCCTTATTACTTCTTTTATTGACCATAAATGACAGAATAATAAGTAGAACACTGCAGCAGAAGACTTTGATTACATAAGTTACAAATCACAGGACATTGTTTAAATCGGTTGGACTGACGACTGACTTTTTCGGGATCAACAGAGGGCACCACCATTTCAGATACAACCTCCTCACCAAACTTGGATGATGTTTTGAATCCCATCATCATCCTGATCCCTGTGGTGCTGGCGGTCGTCATTATCGGCATGATAGTCTGCGGTATTTTCTTCAACCGCAGGTGGAACAACAAAGCCAGAAATCAAGGTTTGTCCATCCCAGGAGGGGACACTTCAAAGGTTCAGATCAGTTGAACACCGGGGAGGGTGTCAGGCTTATATGGTGTTTTTATTTGTGGGGATATACAATGGAAAACCTTTTTTTCTTAACAAAAAAAAGATAAAGTGCATCCGTTTGAAGGGATATCTGTGTATTATTCTTTAAAGCCTTAGTCTTAAAACCTCAACATCATGACTCTAAAAGAATATACTACAATTATGTGCATGACCATATACCATCAAAAATCAAACTTAATACATTTTTGAGCTGAGTGTAAGTCTGACATCATCCATGTGTCATATACTTTCATTAACATGGAAAAAAACATCATAGTTAACAGTCTTTGTTTCCATAGTGACTGCTTAATAACTCAACTTATTTAGCTTTTGGATCTTTTAACTTAAATAGCGACTGAATCCAATTACATACTCATGCTATTTATAATACTAACAATGTTCTCTTCTCGTAGAGCTGAGGAAAGAGGATCCATATTTGGATGGTCCCAGTACAGAAAAGGTGCCAATGTAAGTATTAAAAACATCCTATTTTTATTGCAGCTGATCATTTGAAGGACCTTTGATGACCTTGTAAAATATTAATCAAAGATCCAAATTAAAAGAGGATTCATTGTTGATGCTTTGTAAGTTGTGTTTTTCCTTAATGTGTAATGGGGTTCATACTCGGTGTCTCTTATGTGGCCCATTGTGTGGGAAATGGGTCACAGTCATATCTTATGGTGAGATAGCTTTCTTTCCCCACTGGTACTTCTCTATGCAGGCTCTCTTTTCATCGTCCTGATAAGGGCGGCTGGAATCATCTGTTAAATGTGAAAACACTATTAGATAAAACACAATAAATTCAACACATATGAAGGACTGACAATCAATGCAAATTAGATTGTTAAATCTAAGGGGCTGTTCAAATGAACAAGGATTAAGAGTGAAATGTCAACATTAGGTCTATATGATCAAAGAGACAATGCACTTCGTGATAGAAGTTGACATGATGGAATTAACCAAATGAGAAACAATCAATTAAAAACTTCTCACTTCACACATGATCGAGTATATGCGAAGAAGTCTGTCTATGTCAAAGATCTGAAAAATGTCAAAACAATGCCAGTTTTTCAATTTTCATTTTATAAAGCTCTATTGGCATGAACGACGTGACATGAACAATATTGCCAAAGCATACACAATACAAAAAATAACAAACAGTGATCAATGATGTTGCAAGAGTACACAATTTTATAGGCTACATCAAAAAATAAACAGAAAAAAAGAGTGTGTGTGTTCAGATAAGAAAATGATAAATAGAGCAATGATTATTAACTTTATATGTAAAGATACTATATACCAAATATTCAAACATGAAAAAAGCATCTCTGACTGCTGTGGATATCCGCTAGCATGGTGGCTATGAAAACAACAGCTGAAACCAAGAGCTGGTATAAAAAAAAAAACCTGAGGTTATTTGTTAACATGGTGTTTGTGATTTATATGATCATTATCTGAACCTGTTGTACCCGCAGGCCCATGTTTGAAGAGGATGTCCCCTCAGTCCTGGAGTTAGAGATGGAAGAGTTGGAGTGGATGAAAAAGGATGGTAGGTATTTTCAAATGAAGACTTTATTTGATAGCAAAATATATCAAGACACTTTTAAAACAAAAAAAACCCAAATCATGGACAATCAAGCTTTGTTTCCTATAATTACTTGTTCAGGACTGAGAGCCTAGTTTGTCAAGTTTGTTGTTCATGATCCACCCATGCCTGTTGTTTGTTCAGAGTATGTTTTTTATGTGGTTAGTTGTTATTTTGGGTTGGTTTGTTGTGTTGACGATTTGCTGCAGGGATTGTTGACTTTACTGAATAGAGCTGTTTTTTTAAATGATGTACAAGTTATGCATGTGGAGAAATATGATCAAATATCTAAGATCAAATTAGTACAAAAATAACTCAAGATGTGATCTTAAAAAAATGTATGTAAAGAGATGTGAATGAAGCTGAATATACCTGTACAACTGCAGCCTACCTTCTAAAGTGAGTGCTAGTTAAGTTTAGATGTTTATCCAGTACTCATCAGTTGTATTATTTGTTCTTGTTGGACTGCTTAATGACCCCCCTGAGGTTAAAAGAACTATTTAACAGTAAGTTGAATTTGCGGTTTATCCAGCAGATGTCGCTGTTGCTCTGATTGTTAAAACTGCTTTACAAAAGAGGTGCTCATAGAGGCTTAAGACACTGTCTCTTGGGTTGTCACTTTTTCACAAAGTAATTTTGTTTCTGAGTACTTGGTAATTTCACGCCTACTTGTGAAAATTAGTTTGGATCATTTGCGTGGCATGAAGGATAAAAACCATGGAGAGTGCTTATATCTTGTGTTTGTTTTCAAGGTGACACTGCAGAGGACTCTAAACAAGCATGAATCTATGTTATGGTAAGAAGACTTTACATTTCCAGTTTTTTTAAACTCATTCAGTTTATTGGCCATGATTAGAGAGACATTTTCGTTAATATATTATGACTATAATCAAACAGTCACACAGGTGGCTAAACAACCTACTTCGAATGAACTATCTATTTGATGCCAGCCTCTGTTTGTTTTGATGCACCAGCTGGATTTCAGTTTCGCTGAGACTCATGACCTCTGACCCTTTCATCATTACACATTGTAGTGTTTGAAAGCACAAACACTCATAACATCTGTTAGTGATTAGAACAGGCATGCATGGAAGTGTGGTGCAACTTAACCCAAGGATAGTCTTCTTACTGAAAGGGCTGGGAAGGCCAGGTCAAGGTCCACTCAGAGAATTGTTGACCAATGTCATTTACACACCGCTTTTTCTCAGGATTTTATTTGCAGGGCCGGCCAAGGGTTATAGAGGGAACCTTCATTCAACACAGAGTTTCTCTGTATCCATCAGGTTACACAAGAGAGCTCTAAACAGAAGGAAATGTAATGTTACAGCTGCTGCTGTTGCACAATGTGATGCCATCTACTGCAACAGCTGTTCAATTCCTCAAATTTGGCCCAACAGTGGATCAAATCAGAGAAATAAACAAATACTAACAATACCGTGAAAGCTGCATTGGAAGCAAACCAAGACTTAAACAAAGACAGGCAGATAGAATAATGTTTTGGTTAAGTCTCAAGAAAAAATGTGCCCAACACATATCTAAGAATGAATAAAATTTGGGACACTAGTGTCAGAAGTGAGAAGATTATATTGAATAAAAGATCATTTAAATATTTAGATTTGAAGGCACCTTGTAGCAGTACAATAAGCTGAAAACACAACGATGGTCTCACTTTTTAAAGTTTGTGAGCATGTAACTGAAGAGTTCTGGATCTGATTCTGCTCAATGGATAATCAGAATTCATGTGAAAGTCTGTTTACTTAAAAGACAAACTAAGTCCAACATGAATGACTCTTTTTGCTCTGTTTTAGTCTCCACCAACCCGTTAGATGCTTAATGCTCTATAAAATGAATTAGCTAGTTGCTAACTTTGTCTGTCTTTGTTTGATCTGTGGGTAGTGTGTTTGTAACGGAAGACGTGGTCAACACTTCATGTTTTGGTCTTTTTGGGTTGTTTGTACCTTTTTTTTTGTATTTTTTTCTGCTGAACTTGGTTAGATCTGTTGATTGAGCTTGTGGTCCTTTGTGATTTTTCTTTGAAATGGTGTGATCAATACCCTGTTATTGTGTTTTGGCCAATGAAGACAGCAACAAGGTTTTGGATGAACTGCTATCCAAGTTCTTCAAATTTTATTCAAAGCTTCTTGCAGCAAAAGCTAGCTCACAACACTTTACAGATTACAGCCGATAACTAGTAGTACCCTTAATAATATTACCTCCAGGATCTCTCTGCCCACTTTAACTGTTCGCTTGGAGGGGGTAGTTCTTGGACTCTTGGCTGGAGCTAACTCTCAAGCCTCTCCAAGGTGATGTGGGCATAACTTGACAAAATAGTGGTGAAGGGAGAGGCCCACTTGATAACCCTGGTGATGTCCTGGCTCTCACTGCAATCTTTAAGGGGGCCATCAAGTAGGCAGGTAGGAAGGGTAGATGATATCAGCGCTGTCAAAAAAGCTGGTATAAATTAAGACTTGCAGGTGGCAAGGCTGTTTGGGATGTGGTGGCCACTGATGGCTTTGTGGTGCATTATTTAACTTTTTAGTAGTGCATAGGGGCATAATAAGGATGTGGGGTTTACTCACTGAGGGCATATCCTTTTCAATAGGGCATGAGTATCTTGTGTTCTTGCCAATGAAACCTGATTTTTTCCAGATTCTACGTCAGATTTGTGGATAATAAAGAATAATGAAACTCCAGCAGTTTAACTGTCTATAGGTGTGATGGGCATTTAGAGAACACACGAGGGAGTGGTGACGGTTGTGCTTCTATATTTTATTGCTGGGATTTGAAATTCTCATGTTATAGCGCTCCTTTTTTGCAATATATTTCACAGAATCCCTTATAACCTTTCATGAATCCCTTAAATCCTTTCATATCAATATCCATGACAGTATTGCATTTTAAAAGTGTGTATATATTTGTTTAGTTAAGTTATGAGGAAGCTGCAACACTTCACCCCACTGTTACCTGAACATATGACTGTGAAGTCAGTACCACCATCATCGAGCCGTGACCTCTGCCTCTGCTCCGCTCCGTGTGTCTCTGACTCTGACATTGGCACTTCTCTCTCTCTCTCTCCCATGACTAATTTACTACAGGTTAGGACACTCTCCCCCAGTATGCAAGGACACACAGCCAACATGCTTCGCTGCCAACTTGGAGTGTCCAACCTTCAAACAACATCTGTGACCACAGGAACTAATCTGATTGCCAGGAAATGACATCATTACATTTAAAGGACTCTCACAATGGACAGCGACGTGCAAAAATCAGACTGAAACCTGTTACAGAGTGCCTCCAAAGTGATCCTTTTTTTGCCTTTTATGTATTGTTTTTGGCATGCTTTGCCTATTATTATTTTTTATTGAAATTGTGTGAATTTTTAGCAATAGTCAGTCATTCCAGGTAAATGCACAGAACGTTCTGTCCCATTAATGATACAAATTGAAAAGCATTACCTTTAACAACACAGTGCAGCAGCTACTATAACCCCTTTTCTGCTAATGCTCTTACTGCCAAAGAGATTGTTATTGTCCTAAAGTGCATTAGGGCAATGCTGAACCCCTCCCTGCACATACAGCTATGACTACTCATAGTTTCTGCTGGTAGTTTCTCTTTGTTGTGTTTAAACTGTGCGACTGCCTCCAGCTGCAGGTGTTATGGGGAAATATCCTGTTGAAGATTGCAGGCATGCATGACAGAGAAGGCCTCTCCTTTTCACGCCTGGACACGGCTTATTGAGAAACTGTTGTGCTTTTCCTAAACAGAAATCTCAAAGTGTGAAATCAGTTGGATTCTATTGCTGCGTCTTTTGATAAATTCTTTGCTTGTTGCTGAAGCAGCTTTTCTTAAAGCTGCTGCCGCTGATAAGATTGTCATCTCGCCATAGATAATACCTCTATCTGAAGATGCTGCATGTTCAAATGTTTTGCTTTCAGTTTGGACTATAAAGTGTTGATCGAAGCAGTCAGGATTCTGATCTCAAAATGAGTGCAACTTTTCAAAACGTATCAGTCAGTATTTTGCAGTTTCTTGCAGTGTAAATATGAGAGAACAAAAAGTTAATATTTTCAAGGAATGCCTTCTGTAAATATTTCATAAAATGCTTTGGTACTGCTTTGTTGTTGTTGTTGTTGTTGTAGTTGATGAAGCTTTGAATAAGATTTCGACAAATAAAATATTTGTAATTATTTCTTACACACACTGGCTGTGTGGCTGAAAGTCGACCTGTCAGCAAATCTTCCAGTTTTTCTCATAGGCTGAAATATCTCCACAACTATTCGAGGAATTGCTCTGAAATTTGGTACAAACATAATTGGTTTACAGAGATATATCATATTAATAAAAGCTTGAAGATATATTTATATAGCGTCACAGTGAGGTAACTGTGTTTCTGCTTCCAACTCAATCAGCTGGCAGACAGTCTTAGTTTAAACAGATTTCTTCCACAACCTCTGTTAGCCTGACATCTTGTTTCTATTGAAATGTGAAGCTGTCCATGCTCAGCCGTTGTTAACACACATAGTGTCATATTTAAAGTAACTCGTATGTGGCCCATTCACCTACAATCTTCATTAAAGCCAGTGTACTCAGTTTGTCCTTCCAATGAGCTCATGGGAAGCCCCGCTCCACACGTCAATGGAGGACATTTCCAAACATGTTGTTTCAACTCTGAGGAAAGGATGATGTATTGTAGGTTGGCTGTGGCTCAGTTGGTAGAGTCCTCAGCTTTTGACTCCCTTGACTGTAGTATTTTTGTCATTTACTTGCCTTTTTACTTTTTTATTTGACTTCTGTGTTCATTGTTTTTGCACCAAAACATCTAGTCAAATTCAAGTCAAATTCCTTGTATGCGTAAACCTACTTGGCAATAAATCTGATTATGATTTCTGATTCTAACTTTCCTAATTTTGTATTTGCAGAATGTAAATATATTTATTTTATGACACTTTGAGCATTTCTTTTCATCTTTACTGATTGAGATAACTTTAATGATAATTTGACTAGCACACTGAACTAAGATAATGTATGTTATGGTTGTTTCATTGTAGAATGTGTGCTTAGTCTTTTTGCTTTAAACACAACAACATACGGCCTCACACAACTGGTAGCATGCCTGTAAACTCAATAAAGATACAAGTAAATCATTCAGATCAATGTGATTCCATCCCATCCCATTTTTTTTTACAATTGTTAAAGTGTGCTCCACTCTCTACTCTGCACTGTTTGTCTGATGGGATTCTGGGAGCAAGGTTGGACAGTTCACACTAACCAATGAATACAAATGAGAGAGAAGTCTTGTACTCCATTTCCTCCTTTTTTTCACTTTCTCATTAGATTTCCAGACAGCAGTCCTGTCCATCAGCTCACACTGTCTGCATCATCACTTCTGTCTGGCTGCTCAAACATGCTGACTAAACATTGACATTTTCATTTTCAACATTGACACCTGAGAAAATTATGTTTACTCAGGTAAATCAACTCTGTGTCTGTCTGGTAATAAAATGGTTGTAAGATCCTTGCTGGTTGTCTTTGCTTCATAGTAAACAGAATTTGAATGATTTCATTGAATCTTGATTTATAATTCTAAACTATATTAACTATGGTCTGCATGTACAGAGGTTGTTTCAATGAAATCCAAAAATCTTCTACATATAATTACATTTCATCTAACTTATCTTATTTTTTTTTGTCACAAATTATTTTTGCCTTTTTTTTACTATGAAGCAAAATGTACCATGCTTTTATATGAAATGTGTTACAATCACTTGACCTTTGTTTGTCAATTAATCAAGATATTGATAAAGAGACATAATGATCACCTGAAACATGAAGAAAATGTCAACATTTGAAACATTTGAGGGTTGATTTTTCTCCAACATTTGCAAATAAATAACTTCTTATTCTTTGCGCAGGTTTAGTTTAAAATAGAAATAAAAAGATGTTTACCTTACCAGGAGTGTCACTCTTTGTTTTGGTGTGTGCTGGTACAATAAAAGTAAAGGCTTTCTATTTTATTTTATTTTATTCTAGAGAGTAAATACCCTGAAAGTTACAATTGTATAATTTGTTGCAGATACTTCATAGATACAAATTGGACAGAAAATTAAGTTTTTTTCTCTATAGAGATCAGCATTGTTCACAATGTGCCACATTCTGGCTGAACTGGTTCACATGTAAACAAAGCACCAATCCTTCTTGCCAAACATGGGCATGGCATTGACGAATCTGAGCATGAAGTAGGATACCTGTTTCAGCTGACCAAGTTTTCTCACATCAGATATTTTTTACAAGACTAAGGCAAAGATTTTATAATCCTGATTAAATCCATGTCTGTCACTGTTAACAGAAATGTGATGTTTTCCCCTGAAGAAAAAAATCAGTGACCCAACTCTTTGAATTTGCCCATCATTGTAGACTGCATCAGTGTAAACCCAGCAGGCACTGTTGCTGCCTGTCACACTCTATCAGCTCCATTTCACAGCCGCACCAGCAGCTCTGTTTGTTTGCCTTCAAGAGCTGTGATGTTTCAGAGACTCATCCGTCTGTCGCAATCTTCACATTTACTCTTTGGGCAGTCTTTGAGTAGAAAATATGGAGTGTGTGTGTGTGTGTGTGTGTGTGTGTGTGTGTGTGTGTGTGTGTGTGTCTTAGTGAACAATGGGGTTATGTTTGGTCCTTTGTAGTTGTGATGAGCAATTTTAACTTGTGAAACTTCACACTGCCTTTTATAATAGACTGTCTGTTGCACCGATTAGACAAAATATTCTAAAATTACTCATTACACATGGCTATAATAGTGACAAAACAGAGCTTGTGTCCTCTGTAGTACTTTTAAGGTATAAGAGAAAAATACAATAGACACATTATGAGTTTTGGAAATGGTTAGGCTAACTTTCACAGATTCTCCTGAATAGATAAATCCATATATAACAAAGATTTTTTTTTACTATTTCCTTAAATGAATTTAAGTCACCAGACACTTCTTCTGCAGAAACCATAAATATATATAAAAATATATTTATTCTACACGTTTGTATGTGAAACACAATAATTATCTCTTTGGGTATGCAAAAATCCTTTAAATGAAACAATGAAATAAGAAAAATATCTGAAACATTTCTTTGTTGAAAAAGATAACAAGTAAAAATGAACGGAAATTGAAAAGAAATGAACAGAAGAAGACAAATCTAATCAGTCTGATGCATTAAACATGGGAAAAACAATTCTCATTTGTGTGTGTTTATGTAAATATTGAGATGGTCATACTATTTCTAATCTTGGCACATCCACTACTGAAGCTCATCTATTTCAGTGTTTAGCTTCACTGACAAGACAAAAAAAATCAACACACAGAAAGACGGTCTCAATGAAAGACTATACAGTTCATAGTGAATATTTGGGTGGGAAGTGGCTTAGAGGAACATGTTCCATGAAAGCACAAAGCTTCTGAGAATATTTATTGACAAAAAGAGGATATTTACAGTCCTCCTTTGTTTCCAGGTTCTGCTTTTTAGTTGTCATTGACCAGATGCCAGTCTCAATTCTACACTTCTCAGGATCACATGTTTGGGGCTTAGTGATATCTCAGGCTTTCAGACTCTCCCTGGAGAATCCAGATAGCGAGCATGAAAATGACCATGAGCCAAAGCTAACCATGGCTGGCACTGTAGAGCTAAATTGAGCAGCGGCACTAGAAACAGCAGCAAGCTAATCCACTATAACCTGTGCTTTTTTTTTGCCTATGAATAAACAATGCCCAGTTTGCTGGAAAAATAATCAGTTTTCATGCAGCACGAGTTTTAACACACCATGAAAAATGGAATTTGAATTTGATCTGTTCTCAAGTGTTTATTTTTTCAATACTTTAATGATCGATACATTACCTTTCTATACATACCTTTGTCTAATAATATGGGTTTTGTATTGATACTACATATAGGATACTGTATGCAGACAGAAATGCTATTTAACAATACAGAAAATTAGTACTAGTATTTCTACCACTACTAATTTAGCTGTAATTGCAATGTTTTATTTTGATTATTGTTTTAAATATGCCTATTATTATTATTTACAAAGGCTTCAATAATAATACATAATGAGAATAATAACAATAATTATTATCATTATCATTATCGATAATATTATTAATCGTAATCATTGGTGTTACATGTCATTGGTAGTAATTATTCATCAAAAATTCATTCATCAAACCATCAAAAACTCTCTCTCTGTACAACAGCTCAACTCTTGCGAGCAGAGAACTGTCATCATGATAATATCTGTCTCTCCATACTGTAATCTGTTCTGCACATAAATTTATGTGCATAAATTTATTTATTTAATTTATAAATTTAAGTTAAATTTACAAATGATCCCTGCACTCATGTTCACCTCATGTGGCTGTCTACTCGCCGTTATATTGTATAGTTTCTGCTTATAATATGTCTACACTCATGCACTTTAACTTATGTCAGTAATGTCCTTTTACAACTCTGTTTTTTGCACATTTACATTTAATCTTTCATATTTAATTTACAACCATTTACAACTCTGTTTTTGCACATTTACATTTAATCTTTCATATTTAATTTACAACCATTTACAACTCTGTTTTTGCACATTTACATTCAATCTTCCATATTTAATCTTCCTATTTAAGACTAGTAATGCTTAGTGAAATCCTGGTTGTATATATTCACATTCTTTTTTTAAAGTACTTATTTACTTTGTATTTAATATTATAATATGTTTAATATTATATTATGTTTAATATTATATTATGTTTAGATTTGCTAACATTTTTACTCATATTGTGTGTTTGCATAACCTGCTGCTGCAACGCCACAATTTCCCAGTTTGGGATCAATAAAGTGAATCTATTCTAAAACATCAATCATGTCTCCGGGCGTTTTTTTTTTTTTTTTTTTTTTTTAAACATCACATTTTAGCGCCCACTTTGCAGACAAAAACCCGTGGCGTCATCACGCTGCGACAGCCAATACTCTCCAGTCGGTGGAGAGAGAGAGAGAGAGAGAGAGAGAGTCAGGAGACGATCAAAACGTAGCGGGTTGTCGGAGAGACATTGAGCGGCGAATCACTCACCCACTGACACGCTTCTTGTTTGTTCTTCGCGGATGTGTTTCCCCTCCTTGTTATGGGGGTCAGCCACCACCGTATGACGCCCAGCAACCGGAGAGAGGGTCCTTAAATGTCCCGAGCGATAACTCCTCTCCTCGTCGTTTTTTAGACAGAGCTGCTCATGTTAGCGGTGTTTCACTAGCCTGCTATCTACTACAAACCAAACTCTTTGCCTTGTAGCAGCTAGTTAGCCGATGTTGCTAAGCGTGTTAGCCTTCTGCTAAAGGTGGATGCAAACACTGACTGCTGTTGGTGGGAAACCAAAAAAAAGGCGAAGAAGGAGCGTTTAAGAAGAAGAAGAAGAAGAAAAGCTGAAGCTGAACTCCTGCTCTGAGGGGATTTCTCCGTCTTTTGGATATTCGACTGAAAAGGGGGAATCACGGGAGAGAGAAGAGAAGAGGAGAGGAGAGGAGAGAGAGAGAGGCCCCCGCTGTCTTCACGCGTCCGAGGTAAATAGAGTCTAACATTAACTATGTGCAGCAGCAAAACTGAAGGGAATATTAGAAGTTAAAGAGCAGTGCGAGTCGGCCTAGCATTAGCCAGCTAACGAATTAGCTAGAGAGTTAGCTTCTTTTTTTTTTTTTTTTTTTTTTTTTTAAGCTCAAGCTAGCCAACTTCACGCACCGCTGTTGATGTGGAGTTTTCTGTCCTGTGTGAAACAAGTTAAAGGTGTCACAGTCAGCTCAATGTGGTGGTATGTGGTGGTGTGTGTGTGTGGGGGGGGGGTTCGTGTTGTCTTGCAATGCTTTTGCCTGTCATTCAACCAGTGTAGCAGATTGGAGGCTTACTTTGATAACATTGAGCCTTTTTTTTTAGCGGCACACAAACTTTTTTTTTTATCAGCGGGGGAAGTTTCTTATTCCGCTTATAGTTCACGTTATAAAATGCATGCAGATGCAATAAAGCCAGCCGAACTACACCGTTTTCTTCTAAAAACCAAGGTTTTGTGTGGAAAAACCTCTTGCTAAGCTGTAACTCCAGATGTTTCATGTACATTGAAAGCTTTTTTTTTGCAGGTTGTTTGCAGATCTTGCAAAACAGAATGAACTTCTTATCATTTTGCAATGCTCAGGACCACTTGTGTTCTCTACTTATAGAGGGGGTTTCAACTTGGCAGTAGTAGTTTTAGTGGAGGTTTTTTCAAATTGTGTAATGTCAAACTGAGGAGTGGCTCATGTATTTACTTTTTTGTTTATCTTTGTAAATAGGTCATTAAAATATATAGGAAACAACAGTTTCTCAGTTTTGAGTCTCATCCTCGTAATGTTGCTGTTTTACAGGTTCATATGCAGCGTGGAGACACCTCTGTACTTGCATCACTATTTTTGTTAGTCTGCAGCAAGTCTTTGTGTTCTGAACATCAAGCAAATCATT